ACTGTATGTAGTACTCTAGCTGCAGCCTAACTAGCATCTTCTACACCAGTGCTGCTAGATTTGCTGAGTTTGTCCAGCATTTCCTGTTTTTATTTTAAATCTCAGATCAACATTCCAGCAATAACACTGAAGATGTGTGTTCCAGAGCCTGCTGCTCCCATAATCACGCTGTTCCAGTACAACTGTAACACTGGCATTTACCCGACAATGTGGAAATGGCCAAGATTTGTCCTGTACGCTCAATGCATGACAAATCCTATTTAGCCAATTATCTCTCCATCAGTCTACTCTGTGTCATCAATAAAGTGATGGAAGGTGGCATCAATGATGTGATCAAGCACTATTATCAAATAGCAAGTCAGACGCTAGGAATACTGCAGTGAGTAACTCACCACTTGATTTCCCAAAACCTGTTCACCATCTCCAAGGCACAAGCCAAGAATGCGATGGAAGACTCCGCATGTCCTCTTCCTATTTCAGTTTGTCTTTGAATTCTGTTCATTGATTATCTACTGAAATGCTTTGTAACATGAGCTGTTGTTGCAGCCAGCTCTACCCTACTGAAATAACCACTCCAGGCCAACAGAAGAAATACTGGGTAATTCCAGTGGGGCATGTCACGGCAAAGGTCAAACAACAATCTCAACTTTACTTTCTCCCTTAACTTTAATCCCAAATAAATTTCCTTAAGTACTTTTCTTATCCAAAGAAAACAAATCCAACTTCCTTAAGCTTTGTTAACATTTTAATAGTTTGATTGCCTCTTTTCCTCTCAAGAAGAATTTCATCTGGTTAGGTGAAGAGAACCATACCCAGTATCACTGCTCCTTTTGATATAGAGTCTGTTCATTTCCTTTCAAATTAGATCTAGTTTCCCTTTACTTTGACATTAGCCAATCGTCTGTAAAATGGTAAGATTAAAAATAGAAAATAAAACTACTAAATATGTAAGAGATCTGAAATAAAATTTGAAATACTCAGCAGGTTTGGCAGAATGTCTGAAGAGAGTTAATAAGAGTTAGTGTTCCAGGGCAGTGACCTTTTTGAGTGTTACTGGGTTGCTGTGAGTACTTTTACTACCTCAGTTACTGAATAATGGTAGATGATTCTATAAAGGTACACGCATGCACTGCATTTCTAAATTGTATGATGTATTTATGGCATTTTCTACTATGACCAGTACATATATGGTAAAATTGGGTGTCACTATTAGCCACACCTCATGCTTGTCAGCAATTTCTTTCATAAGATAATGTTGTAAAGGAACTAGAGAATAAACTCCTTCCCTAAAGGCTAACTAGAAAAGAACTAAGAATAGTATAAGAATTAATGCAATGCCGTGTATTTGAAGGGTTAATGTGCAAGTAGAATGCTACTGTTTGACATAACATCTGGAAATTGAGATTAATACAGACTGACTACGTTGTTGAATTGATATATAATATTTTGGATCTTTTTCTCAAGACCTTTAATTCTCCTGGGAGGATGTGCTGGCCAGCTATCATCACTTCACATATCTTTAATTGAAAATGCATTTTTAGATGTTATCATGCTCGAAGGCCTAGTAACTCACTTTAAGTGGAAAGGGAAATGAGGTTTTGTTCCACAGCAAATTTTGACAGCAGTGATGAGTTTGAATGCTGAGCAGAGATAAGAATAGCTGCATGAGAAAATCATGGTTACTGTGTTTACATGATTGATAATAGCAGTCAGAGACATCATCCCCTTTGAACTGATATCTAACTTTGTGTCACAGGAAGTTTTAACAGGTACTTATCTTTTGCTGTCAATTTTTAATATTCAAAATTGTTGCTGCAGGCAGATCCTAACGGGAGGCCTTACGAATGGCAGTATTGACCATAAGTTGTTCTGATTGACCTTGATTCTCTGGATTACGGAGGAATTGAAGATATGGCATAAGATAGCCTATGTGCTTTCATTCTGTCTCTGTTGCTGGATGTCAAGAAAAAGGGGCAGAAGAAATATAATCCATGAAATGCTGTTGTATACCTCAGTTAACAGGAAGTGTGGTTACATATTAGAACTAAAATAAATACAACTAAGTATTGACTGCTGTTATTATGTAAAATCAATCATGCAATTACATGCAGGTTTCCGTTCACATAAATACAAAATCAGGAGAAAGCCATTCAATAGCTTGAGCCTTTTCTGCCATTTCAATCTACTGAGGAACTCCAAAAAAATTGATAAATGGGTGAAACGGACAGATAGTTATATTGATCTTGTAACTCTTCACAGATACTGACAAACCTGCTGAGCATTTCCAGTTTTATTTCTGGCCTCTTAACATCTGTAATATTTTGTTTTCTTAATTTTCATTCAACAATATTACAAACATTTGGCAGGTTTCAAAGCAAAAGCAGATGATGCTTGATACAGGAAAGTGTGACGTGATGCACTTTGATAGGAAGAGCATTTTAAATAGGGGTAAAATTCTAAAGGAGATGTAGGAGCAGAGAATACTGGGTCACAGATAATTGAAGGTGACAGGACAGGTGGAGAGAAGTTAATAATGCATACAGTGTCCTTGGTTTTTATTAACAGGGGCACTGAATACAAGAGCAAGAAGGCAATGTTGAACTTGTATGACACACTCGTTAGACCCCGGCTGGCGTATTGTGTACAGTTGTGGGCGCCACATTATAGGAAAGATGTGAATACATTGGAGACATTGCAGAAGCGATTTACAAGAATGGTTCCAGGAATGAAAAGTGTCAATTATAAGGATAGATTGAAGACGTTGGGAACTGGTCACCTTGGAGTGAAGAAGGCTACAAGGAAATTTCATGGAATTTTCAAACAAACGGCTGGATAGAGTAGGTAGGGAGAAGCTTTTTCCACTCATAAAAGGAACAGCAGCAAAAAAGCATAGATTTAAACTGATGTGCAAACAAGGTAACAGTGATGTGAAAATAAAACTTTTTACGCAGTGAGTAGTTAGGATATGGAATGCACTGTCTGGAAATGTGGTGGAGGCGGTTGAGGCATTCAAGATTGGATAATTGCATTGGATGAGTATTCGGATAAAAATAGCGTGCAAGACGATGAGGGAAAAAAACAGGAAATTGTCATTAGGTAATCCATACCTCCAACCCATTTATCTGCATTTGATCCATGTCCCTTAGACTTTTATTATAGAGAAATGCTATCAATTTCAATCTGGAACATCTCAATGGGTCTTTTGAGGTAAGAATCGTACATTTCCCTGAATTGCGTGAGAAGCATTTAGTGATTGCACTTTGTAATTTTCAACAAAACATTTTGGACCTCCTAATTTAATGCTGTCTGAAAACTTGGATCTGTAACTATCAGTGATTGGTTTAAGGAATAATCATGGCTTGAGACCTACAGGAGTGTTTACATATGTATAAAGCTGAGGCCCAGTATGTATGTTGGGAAACAACACTTCTTACATTCTGAAAATCACCGTACATGCCCTTTATCCCTATTCTCTATATGCTACAACTACTTATCAAACCATGTTACATTCAGTTTTGCATGCTTTTAATATTAACTAAAAATCTTATGTATCAGATGCTTTCCTTATATGCAAATAAACACCACCCTTGTTTCTTTTCATGCGATGTGGGTATTGCGGGCTTGGCTAGGCTAGGCTAATTGTTGCACGTTCCTGGTTGCCCTCAGGAAGGACATTCCCTTGTCCTTGATCTGACATCCTCAAAAACTTCAGCTGGGTTAGTCAACCCCTACCCAAACACCCACACATTCATCAGAACGTTTTTTGGAACCTGGTGAAAATTGTGTAAGTTGGCTTGAAAAATTAAGTACTCATAACTACACTGCCCTGGTTTTTCTGCTTTTGACAGTAAAAATTGACATTTTTTTGTACTCCATAACCTTATATGATAAAACGCATTAATCCAAGATGCTTTTATTTGATGGCCACGAAGCAGAAAATGAGCAGTCATAGAGTCATACAGCACTCAAACACACCCTTTGGTCCAAACAGTCCATGCCAACCATAATCCCAAACTAAACTAGTCCCACTTGCCTGTACTCAGCCCATATCGTTCCAAACATTTCTTATTCATGTATTTATCTAAACGCCTTTTAAACGTTGTAACTGTACCTGCATCCACCACTTACTCTGGAAGTTCATTCCACACACGAACCACTCTGTGTGTTTAAAAAAAAAAGAATTGCCCCTCTTGTCTTTTTTAAATCTTTCTCTTCTCACCTTAAAAATATGCCCCATAGTCTTGAAATCCCCCCACCTTAGGAAAAAGTTACCTGCAATTCACCTTATCTATGCTCCTCATGATTTTATAAACCTGTATAAGGTCATCACTCAACCTCCTATGCTCCAGTGAAAAAAGCCTATCCAGCCTCTCCTTATAACTGAGACCCTCCATTCCTGGCAACCTCCTGGTAAATCTTTCTTTTCTGAACCCTCTCCAGCTTCATAATATCCTTCCTACAACAGGGCAACCAGAACTGGACACAGTATTCCTGAAGAGACCTCATCATGTCTTGTGCAACCTCAACATCACATTCTAACTCCTATATTCAAAAGTGTGAGCAATGAAGGCAAGTGTGCTAAACAACATTGGGCAAATGTGTGTTGTGAGATTTGCACTCGCCATGAAGATAAGGAGCGAAGGCACAAGTCTGTGACAGATTTGCAGTTTTCCAAGACGCTTAGGCATTTTTCTAAGAATACTTGTATTACTGTGCAAAAAGGATTTTCAGGAAATTTTCCTAAAAAGGATTGGTCAAAATAGTGCCCAGAATGATGAAAAATTTGTGGCTCTGTGGTATTTCAGGTTAGTCTAGAATGTTTGAACATTGGCCTAAAGTTGACTGATTCACATTTTGATAGCCACTGCATAAACAGGATATCTTTCATAATTATACATCTGCCCTTTAAACTAGACAATTTGTTTTATAATTAACTGAAATTGTTTCTAAAATATTGCAGATGATAATTAGCCAACTGTTATTTTTTCACTCTTTTCCAGAGACCATTGCATGGAAGGCTTCATCTGATTCTTTAGCTGATACAGTTTCCAGCTGGAATGAGGCCACTGACAAAGCCGTCACGTGGCAATTCACGGGGGGAGGAGATGCAAACTCTGTGGCATGGGGACCCTCAGACAGACCAATGACTACCTCAGGTTGGGGAGTGACAACCAAGGACTTGAGTAGTAGTGGAATTGACTGGGACACTGCAGATTCTGCTGAGCAGGACATCTTCGCTAATATAGGTCAGTATCCTTAGAATTATTTACAAATGCAGTAAAAGCAAAGGAATGAATGAAGCAGTGGGTTAAAACAATAACTCAAACAGATGGGTTAAACTGATGTGAAAAAATTCTCCTTGTACTGAGGATTAGGAGCTCAAATGATGAGTAGTCTCCAAATTGTCCCAAATTTGATTACAGGCAGAAAAAAACTATCCATAATGAAACACAAAATTGTTCATGGAAGTGTTGAGAGCGAAAATCTTTGCCTTCCTCTCTGCCACCCTGTTCACCAACACCTCCAAGTCCCTTTCTGTGAATTGTGTGAATTCCTTCTTAGCCGTGTAGGAATATAGAGGCTCAAATACCATTGTGTAAGAGGTAGTTCCTGGCATGTAGCATCTGAGCATTGTGCAGCCGGACTTTAAATATGGTGCCAGATGTATGAAAAACCACAAAGGTCCAGGCATTGGCATGTGGCTCAGCTTCTCTGACTGCGAGGAGCCTGAGAGTCCAGTTGCATAATAAATGTGGAGAAGAATGGCAAATTGCCAGAGAAGAGTCACATTGCACAGCAGACTGGACACCATGAATCTCCCTCGACAAAACACTTTAGCTACAAATAGAAAAATTTCATTCACTGATGAGAAATTTACCTAACCCACGTTAAGCGTATGTGGGATTGCACCTGCCAGAATTGATAAATCATGGCAGGGAAGAACAAGAGATGCCACAGTTATGATCTGGTACCGTCAGACATTCCTGTAAGTTATTTAATATTAGATTTGATCTTTGGTACTCAGAACTGGAGGGAGCTTTCTACAGTGTGTATATTTTATTACCGTTATACAACACAAAAAGCAAGAGGATGAAAATACAAAGTTTAAACTTACGTCATTTTAAAATAAGAGAAATGCACCTCTTAACATCCCTATGCCTTTGAGGAGATCAATGTCTTTTTGATACTGTAAGCTTGCCTTGTCTCACTTATAAGATTTTTCAACTCTTATGTACTTTATGTCTGCCTTATGTAATGAAGTCACCCATATAATGGGACTTTTGTGCCTGTGTGTCAAGCAGCCTGCTAACCACTTATACATTCCGTGACACTCTCACTCCCAATTCAACATAGGCTGTCCACCATCTACAGTGTACAAGTCTGTAATGTAATGGAATACTGTCCACTTGCCTGGTTGAGTGCGGTTTTGACAACACACAAGAAATTCGACATCATGCAGCCAAAGTACCCCGTCCATTCACTTTTCCATCACTGCACACATTGGTACTTGTCATGCCTCTTTTGACAGCACCTTCCAAACCTGCAACTGCTGCCGCTTAACAAAAGAATGGAAACACCATCCTGATCTTTAATTTATTGCTGCTTCACTGTCACTGAGTCACAAAACTGGAAATCCCTTTCCGCACTACATGGACTGAATTTTGTGCAGAAGCTGGGAATAAAAGTGAAAGAGGAAGAGACGGAAGAGAAACACTAAGGGAAGTTGGTGACTTGCATTGTTAGATTAATAGTTTATAGTAATTATTATCTGTAAGATACGTAATTTTTTTATTTGAGATTACTACAGAAAACCTGAAAGAACATAGACAGATATGGTCAATATTTATAGAATTTGACTTTGCATTTCCACTTAATATATGAGTTTTCAGGATGTAGGTGTCCTACAAGTGAACATGTTGGGTGATTTCATGTGTAATCTTCCATATTAACATTACAATATTAAGAGCTTTGTAAACTAATTATTTGTAAAATAAATAAAAGTCACCATCATCTCAGAGAGGAATACAGAGGTGCACTCTCATGTAACCTGGGGGTCATCGCAACTCAGGTGAGGGGAGAGATTGAGAAGGAGAGTCCTTCATGGTAACGTCAGTCAGTCTGAGAATTAAATCCACGTTATTGGCATCCCTCTGCTTCACAAACCAGTTGTTCAACTAACTGAGCTAACCAACCTCTGATAATTATATTTAGAAGATTGCACGTCAAAAAAAAAACAACTCATCAGGAAGCCTAAAACAAAACATAGAACCACAGATGCTGAAAATCTGAAACAAAAGAGAAATTACTGGAGAAACTCAGCAGGTCAGGCATCATGTGGAGAGAGAAATAGAGTTAACATTTTGAATCTAGTGACCTTCAGAGCTGGATACGAAATGCTAACTCTGTTTTCTCTCCACAAATGCTGCCAGACCTGCTGATTTTCTCCAGCAACTTCTATTTTAATCTGGACACTTGTTTACAAATAAGAATGTGATTGTACATTTAAATTGCTTAGGTCTATGGCACATTGAAATGCAGAATCATTAAATGTTACAGGTTTTCAAGGGCTGTTTTCCCTGATGAGACATTCTTAACAACAAGTGACACTCGTGATGAGAGCTGGTTGGAAAATGGGAATGTGCCACAGCCTTGATTTAATAAGGAGTTATTTCTGCAAGCAGACAATGCTTGATTATTTCTCCCTTACACAGTACCTGCACGAACAGGCATAGACCAGGAAAAAGCCCTTTTATAAGCACTTCTATTCCAATCACAGTGCAATGAAAAATTCCAAACCTGTTCATTTGAGGATCAACTGTTTTGTTGCTTTGTCTTGAATTGATCTTGCTGATTTGTGTTTAGGTACATGGGAAAACAAGACAGGTGTTAGAAGCCCTCCTGTGACCTTTGGAGCATTTACTGATCCTCCCGAAGCAAGTGAGTGACCAAGAACACTCCTGTCAATATGCTATTTTCATTTCATTGCCAGCAGTGAGCTATATTGAACTGCTTTATAAATAGAGATTGCTGAATTGTCATCAGTATATTATAGAACACTAATGCAGTTGAGGAGTTTAGATTATGCCATAAATTGAGAAGATAATGAAATTTTGATAACTTTCATAAATAGCATAACAACAGCTTGCTTATCACGAGTTTCTAGTGCCATGTGATGCTCGACTGCATAGAGGACTTTATTGATGTATCACCACACAGCATATCAGTTGTTTTTAATATAGCAACTCATTGCATTTGAATCTACCACCATGGACATTAAACCCCAACTTCCAAGGACAAAAACAAAGTTGCTGGGAAAGCTCAGCAGGTCTGACAGCATCTGTGAAGGAAAAAACAGCGTTAACATTTTGGGTCTGGTGACCCTTCCTCAATTTCCAAGGCTCCACTTGTGACCTAAAGCCTTGCCGGGGGTAAGCTTGGATTCAAAAATGGACCCCAATTTTGTGTGCTAAATTTTCCAGTATGCAGTTTTGGAAGGAGCAAAGCATCAGTACTGCTAAAGAAAGCAGGTTAAGTAAACAACTTAAGTTGGGTCCCTCATTAAATTTCATGACTCTGGGCCATGCTGTGGCTTGAAGTGTGCAGTCACTCATTTGAAATTGGCTAGAGCTAATTATACTGGGCATGGGCTTTCACACGTAACTGAAAAAACTGTCCAGAAGCTAGTATTCCATCACCAAGTTACCTTTTATTTACACGTGGAGAGTCCTTGACACTGATCCAGCTCCCTCAGAGCCAGCTTTCAGAGTGCACAGGATGACTGACACCTCCTCAGATGCGGAGGGGCAGGGACGTAGTGATTGTAACAAGATCAGCCAAGTGGACCTCATAGAATGAGTTCCCTGATTGGACCAGATTAACAGCCCCAATCAGGAATCCCTGGTAAATCTCTTCTGAACCGTATCCAGCTTAATAATATCCTTCTTATACAGGGTGACCAGAACTAGACACAGTAGTCCAGAAGAGGCCTCACCAACATCCTGTACGACCTTAACATCGCATCCCAACTCCTATACTCAAAGTTCTGAGTAATGAAGGCAAACATGCTAAATGCCTTCTTAACGATCCTATCTAAATGTAATGCAAACTTCAATGAATTATGTACCTGAACCCTTGGGTCTCTTTGTTCTACAACACTACCCAAAGCTCTACTTCTAATTCCATAAGTCCTGCCCTTGTTTGTCCTACCATAATGCAATGTTTTGCATTTATCTAAACTCCATCTGCCACTGTTCAGCTCATTGATCCAATTGATCAAGATCTCTTTGTAATCTTAGATAACCTTCTTATACCTGTCAATATATAACTCAACAAATTAAAGCTCTAATCCCATTATTATTTCCCCCTTACACAGTACCTGCACGAACAGGCATAGACCAGGAAAAACACGGATTATGGATGGAGGGGAATAAACTGGGAAACAGTTCAGTGGTTTCTGTGCACAAGGGTTACTGTTGAGATGATTCTCATGGTTCTTGTGCTGATCAGAACAATGCTTTTCAGTCATCCTTCTCTAAATGCTTCCATTGGTTTACAAGACATACAGAGTGCTGGTTCACTTGCAAAAAGGTCTCTGATTTGCTGATTAAAAGCCACAGATTTCAGCAACTGCTGCTGGAGATCTTATAGCTTTTCTGCATCTTGCTTGCAGCCCTTAGCTTTGCAGTTAACTGAGAACCAATCATATGGTTATTAGCAGGCTGAAGGCCTCTGTTATCTGTAGCCGGTCACTCATCCACAAACCAAACAGCTCTTTTTGACAATGAAATCTCCATCTGTACATGACGCCTCAGCTCTGCAGACACTGCTATAACCCATAGCTATACAAAAGGTGTTCACAATGTGTATCAAATTACTTGCTTTCAAACCAGACAGTTTGGTTTTTAAATCAGTTTTTCATTCGCATTTCAGTCCGCAATTGAAAAATAAATAAAAACAAAAATACACAGTCTTTACAAAGAATTGTAAGGTAATTCATTTTGGACTCAGATATAAGTGTACATAGTTGAAGATGGCAGAACAAGTGGAGAGTGTAGTTAATAAAGCATTGTACCCTGGGCCTTATTAATTGTGATATAGAATGTAGAACAAAGAATTCATGCTGTTCAGAAAGAGGCTCATCAAGTCTGCACCAACCCTCTGAAGAGCATCCCACCCCTTGCTCTATTACTGTAAACCAACATTAACCCTGGCTAATCCAACTAGCCTGCAAGTCCCTGGGCACTACAGATGATTTGGCATGATCAATACACCTAACCTGCACATCTTTGGACTGTGGGAGGAAACCAGAGCACCCGGAAGAAACTCATGCAGACACAGGGAGAACATGCAAACTCCACACAGATGGTCACCCAGGGCTGGAATTAAATCTGAGTCCCTGCACGCTGAGGCAGCAGTGCTAACCATTGTGCCATTGTGCCATCGCAATTGATGCCTAACTTGTGTGAACACTTAGAGTCATTGAGTAATGCAGCATGAAAACAGACCCTTTGGCCCAATTGGACCATGCTGACAATGTTGCCCACTCAGCTAGTTCCAATTGTCTGCATTTGGTCCATATCCCTCTAAACTCTTCCTACCCATGTACCTATCCAAATGTTTTTTAAATGTTTCTATTGTACCTGCCTCAACCACTTTCTATGGCAGCCCATTCCATATACAGACGACTCTCTGCATGAAGAAATTACCCTTCAGGCCCTTCTTAAATCTTTTCCCTCTCACTTCAAACCTATGCCCTCTAGTTTTCAATTCCCCATCCCTGGGAAAAAGACTATATGCATTTATCTTATCTATGCACCTCTTGTTAGATGTCACCAGTGTATTGTTCTGGGGTTGCCACAATACAGAAAGGATGTGAATGCATTGGAGAGTATAGAAGAGGTTCACAAGAATGATTCCAGGATGAGAACCTTCATTAATGAAATTGGAAAGGTTGAAACTGTTTTATTTGGAAAGAAGAGGCTAAGATGAAAGCTAATAGAAGTTTCAAAATCATGAAGAAGCTGGATGGGCAGGAGGGGAGAAACTGTTCCTGCTTGTAAAAGGATCAAGAATGAGAGGACACAGATGTAAAGTGCTTTGCAAAAGAATCAAATGAAAGGTGAGAAAAAACTTTTGCACATAATGCATGGTTCGAGTGTAGAATGCACTGCTTGTTAGTGTGGTGGAGGTACGTTCAAGTGAGGGATTCAGCAGGGCATTGTTTTTATTTAAATAATTATCTAATATGCAAGGGTACGGGGAAATGTCAGGATAATGGCACCAAGTTCATGATGCTTATTTGGAGAACCAGTGCAGACATGGTGGGCCAAATGGCCTCCTTCTGTGCCATAGAATTTCTGTGATTCTGTGAAGAATACATAGCTAAGCAGGATGATACCAGGAATGAAAAGTTATAATTATGAGGAAAGACATAAAATACTGGAACTTTTCCCGTTAGAATAGGGAAAAAAAAGATTATTTCCTCTGTTTGAAGAATCAGCAATGTGGGGAAGAATGATTTAATCTGTCTGTAAGAAAATGAATAGAGTATTCTGGAGATACGGCTTTACACAGAGGTTTATCACAGTGTTGAATGTATTGCTGCAGAAAGTAGTTGAAGCAAAGAGCAATTCATCCGTTAAAGAAGAAATGCAAAATGGAAAATAACAGACCATTTTTCACAGTTATTTGGAGAGTGTGGGGTTAGTCCTTAATTGTTTTAGCAAGGAACTGCACAAGCATAACAGGCCAAGTAACTTTTCATACTGTAAACTGATAGGCTGTATTGTTCCTTGCCAGGAAAATAAGCCTGGCTAGCGTTCGAGTATCAGATAATCCAAGATTGCTGTGTTTCATTGGATAAAGTCCAAGAGATTTTTGTTTTTGCAAATTTTTCTGTACAAGCATTGAACATGTAACTTTTTTCTTTTCTGCAGTTTTAATTCTTTGCTGAAGGTTTCAGTTGGATAAGGTATATTTCTCTGGAGAAATGCAGCTGTACAAAATTGTACTGTTTCATCTTACAGAGGAATCTGGAAGTCGGAAACTAAGAGTTACTGTTTAACAATCAGGGGTCGCCCTGATTTCTCGTAGGGTCATGAATCTTTGAAGCACACTCTTCCTGAAAAATTAGTCGAAGCAGAGTCCTTGAATAATATTACAATAGAGGTAGTTAGATTCTTGTTAAGCAAGGGTTTGAAAGGTTATCAGCAGTAGACGGGAATGCAAATTTGAGAATCCAGTCAGATCAGCCATGATCTTTTTGAATGGTGAAACAGTCTTGAGAGACTGAATGCCCTACCTCTGTTCCTAAATCATATGTTTGTATATTGTTGATTAAGCGTGCGTGAATTGGATTGGGAGGAGCATTTCATGAGCATACATCTGCAAACTGACAAAATCCTCAAGAAATGTGTATCCTTTCATTACTGCCCAAGTGGATAGGCATACAGACCCAAACTTGATGAGCCTCAGGCACTCTCTTTCTACATGCTTTAGTTTGACTGAACAGTTAAATGGCAAAACTTTTCAGCTGCTGCCAGCAGATATGTAGATAACATTAAGGACTGGGATGGTTCCTTCTTCATTGTGATGACCACTATGGTTACATCTGTCAGACAAGCCAGTCTATAGTTCTTTCCTATATAAGGCAGATGGCTGACATCAGGTTTGATAAGCTAAGTACCTTCATTACTTTCCCACTGAAAAGGATATATGTATGACTCTAATCGTGATATTGCAAAATTTCATCATATCCACGCTGACAAATAGTCCAGGCTATTATAGACCGAATCCATTTGAACATTAAGACTCCACATGTCAACCCAGATGCACATATAGGCCTGGATATTCTCTAGCGATGGACTGGAAAGCAGGTAAAATGAAAGAAGATGGGGTGGATAGAGTGCCTTCCCACCCAGAGGCATTCTCTAGGTTGTGAGTTACACATTCCCATGCTTCAAGTCCCTGCATTCTCCGGGTGCTGGTGTTTTATTTGTTGCCATGAATGGTTAAAATGTCAAACACAACATTCTGCAAGTTACTTGGTGCAACCTGGTCTGATCTCCGTTCTTCAGGAGGAACATAAATGAAAAGGAAATGGAAAGATTTGCAATGCACCTTTCTGATAGTGACTTTCAAACATGTAAGACTTTTAACTGCTTTACGCAGCGGTTTTGTAAAAGCAGCCCCTGCTGTGAGTAGTTAGAAAGGAAACCAGTGCCATTTCATGTACATTTATCAATGAGGCAGTGTTAAACTAGTAGGCCTAGTTCAGCCCCTCAGCTGACGCTATGCTTTAATTTCAGTCTTCTGATTCCAACAGTTTCTACCCTTTGATATCATATTTCACGATTGCAAATGATATACTCCGATTGTAAGCAACTGAAATGATAAAATGACAACAAAATTAAAATGTTGATTTTCAGTGAGGTTGTATGGACAAAATTAGGATTTCAGTGAAAATGCAAACCCTCAAATTGCATACTCTTAGTAAATTAATAAACTCATATTACCTTCATGAAATATATGAAATAATTAGTTTATAAGTTAACACTTATGTTTTAAGGATGCTGTGAACTGGTTTGACATAAATTTTCTTTTTACCTTAAGTTATCCAAGACACAACTTCATCTCAAGATAGTCCATCAAGGTGTTATTTGAGTGCCTCATTGCCTTCTCATACAATTGATGAAGCATGGCTTGGACTAGGTAAGGAAGTCTCATTATTTAAGCATTTCTCTTAGCACTAGTTATTGTATGATTAATATATTAATGTAGTTCATAAAAGAGATAACAACTTTTCTGTTGACGCCATTATGAGGCAACACAATAAAGTTCCAAGCTGATGCTATGGAGAAAGTTTAAAAGAAAATATTTTTGTTGATCTGAGAATAATGTTCAAGTTTGCAAATGTATTGTTGCCAGGTCCACATGTTAATATTCAAACGAGTTAAATACTTGGTTTAGAATGTTGAAGTTGGCCTTTTAAATGGCTATTCTTGACAAACCTTAAAACGGGGTTATTGACTTACAAAGGGGTGAAGTGATGGAGATGTGTGTCTCACAATCATGGACCATCTACATCTCTATTGAAATCTTATTTTCACTTTATTACGGCTTGAGCTCCTCCAAATGGGAGGTCCTGACAAGTCAAAAATATTCAATCACTTTTGCCGTCCGTTCTCACTGCACCTTTGTTTTATTGCATTTGAGGTGAATTATACAATTTCCCTCTTAACTCAATCTTTCCCAAGGACCTCATAATTGAAACCCTTGACGTCTTTCACTCTTCCCTTTCTAGAAGCCTCAGGGTCTTAAGACCCAAGTTCACACACCCACTATTTTCTGATGTGATCTTTTTGAATTAAAGTGATACTGGGCTCCAGGGTAACTGCAAGGAAAACATCAGGATCTAGCTTATCCCAGTTCCAAGCCTAATATTTGATCCCACCACCAGACCTTTACTGGAGTAATGGTGGGAAGATAAGACATAGCATGTCATGGGTGACTAATCATTGCAGTTAGCTTTGAGTTATATCCAAATTGACAATTACTTTCATATCTTTCCACCCCAGGCTTAAGCCCGGCTGTGATATTTCTGTCTTTAGTGGTAGTAAAATTGGTTTTGGTCAGCTGACATTGAGTTTCTAAATAATATAAATTCACAGCATAGAAGAGCTCACAACTTGGCACAAGCTGCTAGTCACTTTCAAAGGACTCAGCAGGGTGAGTTTCTAGTGAAAACGTTCTGAAGGGATACAGAACTATTGCATGGGATAAAATATATTGTTAGCAGGGCAGAAGCTTATTTGTGCATATGACTGTGCTAAGTTGAACTCTGTATTTGATGCTTACACCCTGTAGCCCTTCCTCTCAGCTAAAGCAGAAAGAACCTCAAACCTGTTGAACAATCGCAAAGGATAGGTCTCCTACATTCCTGCCCTCTGGGTCCTCTTACCTGCCTCAGCTGTAGTTACATTCCCCTGTCCTTGACCACTAATCAAATCAGAAGACCTTATCCTAACGAGTCTGACCACCTCACAGTACAAAATATCTAAGCAATTTTTCCAAACCTTGATGTATTGTGCTGTCTGCAACCTCAAATTCAGTTACTCTGAGCCAAAGCTCCTTGAGTTGCAAACACTTAACTGCAGGTATGTTGCCCTAGGTTGTACCGGCATCCAAGAGCTCCCACCAATGCAATCACAACATATCACCTATCCTACTATCCTCAATGTATTTTTAATTAACTAATTATTTTATTTGGTTATCTGTTTTTCTTTTTATATTTTGTTTCAACCTTACCACAGTTCCTGTAGTATTTGAAATCTTAGGAATAGAATACATCCTAACCATTTATAAGATTCAAGCCAAAGGGAGTAGACTAAGGACCAAATCCTGCAGGATGAAAATGTTTTTAAAAAAGCAAAGGAACACCTCTTCTTCACTAACTCTCTTACTCACTTGACTGCCAGCACTTTGGACTAAGCCCCACTGGGATTCCTGTGTTTATATTCTCTGAGTTAGCATAGCCCCAGGAACAGAAAAGCCTGATTAAGCTAGTTTCCTTAATTAATTACCTTCAACTGCTCTCCAGTGGAGATCATGCATATCCTTGCTTGTATAACCCTGCCCACAGCTGGACAGGCCACCAGAGGTGGCAGCACAGTGGTGTACAATCAGGGGGAATTTACCTTGGGAGGTCTCCTGGCATCAAACAAGGGCAAGGAACCCTCCTGCTGAATACCAACTACTACCCTCTGTCAGTTAATGAATCAGTATGGCATAATGATGAAAACCACTTTGGAAGAGTAACTGAGGGAAACCTGGTACAGAATGTACTCTGGTTGGGGAAATCCAATGTCCATCACCACGAGTGGTTCGGTCACACTGCTACTAATTGAGCTAATTGCTAGTGCACATAGCTGCTTTAGCAGATTCTGAGGGAAATGAAAGATGGAACATAAGCTAACGTAATATCACCCATACCAGTCTGATGGCTACAGATACCAGGGTTCTTATGAAGACAAAGTCCTGTCTTCACGCTGAGCGTACTGTAATAATGCTATGGCTTTAAGAGGTGTATTTTGTCCTGGCTTCTTTTAAGAAAGGGATCGAATGAGAGATATCGAGCAATCTGTGGTAACATTAGCAGCTTGTGAGGCCTTGGGTTTCTTTTAAAATTGGAACAGTAGAAGCAGCCTCGATGGGTGTGGCTAGGTCTCACAGACCAGGGTTTCTATGTTTTTTTTTAAGACTTTTAGATTCAGCACAAGTTGCTGGAGTCTTGAAGTAGAAGCTATTTTGCCCCTGCCACGGTTCAAGCTAGAAGCTGAGGTTTCTCTTCATTCTGCAGGTGTTGCATGTGAGAAAATCTGTTTCTGAATTTGCCTTTTTGCCAAGGTGTATGTTTATGGGATGCTACTATATTGGAACGGTTAATTAGTAACAGTTACTGAATCTATTATTCTGTTAAGTTTTCCAATACAGTTAAGTTATTTCAAGTTCTTCTTTCTTTAGTTGTATTTTAACTATATTTGAATAAATTGTGTTTTTCTTAACATCAAGTAGTTTGACCAATCAAATTGCATCAGGAACAAAGCACCAGACATTTACCTTTAAAATAAGAAAATGTTAGGGTCTAGGCTACCTTCTTAATATGTTTTGAGGGCGCCTGGTCTGGCCCATGACAGTACCATCCATTGTGTTGTATGGCTAAATGAAAGATTCAGAATAAATGGCAGCTCAAAACTAGGCATCCATGCAGCGCTGTGGCCATCAGTAGCAGTGGGATTTTATTCAACCACAACTGATAAACTTATAGCCTAGTGTGTCCTTCATTCTTCCATTATTATCAAGCCAGTTGATCAACTTTGGTCCAATAAGGCATGTAAAGAGTATGCCAAGAGTCACACTTGAATTCATAAAGCTAAAGTGTCAACTTTACATAGATTTATATCTATGTAAACCACGAGAAACAGCATGTGAAAAACAGAACTAAGCAATCCCATTGTCAGTGGATGAGATGAAAGCTCTGCTCCTTAGTGTATTCAGTCATGAATGGTAGAGGGCTAACGAGGAGAGGACACTCCACCAATACTTCTACCCTCAATGATTGGGGAGGTCAGCATGTAAATCCAAAAGACAATGCTGAAGTATTTGCTACTATCTTCGGTCAGAAGTGCTGCATGATTGATCCGTCTTGGCCTTTTTCTAAGGAACCCAAAATCACAGTTGCCTGTCTGACATTTTAAAGAACCGTGCACCTGAACTCCCAAGTCTCTTTGCACATCCACTGTATTTACCTTCATTCCATTTGGAAATTACCCTAATTGGTCCAAACTGGATGACCTCACACTTAACATTGAATTTCATCTGCTACAGTTTTCCCCATTCACTTAAAACTATCAATATCCCTTTGTAATTTTATGCTTTCATCTACACTGTCCACAGTGCTGCCTAACTTGTTTGAAATAACTAGTTGTATAAACCCTTTTACACAATCAAAGCAAACTATAAAATTGGCATTGAAAAGAGAATAACACAAGGGAAATAATATTATAATGAAGTGCAGTTAGAAAAGTCCAATTGATTCTTCATCTTTGTACGACGCATGTGTTGCTATCAGTATATGACTTTTACATTGGTAAAGCCACTGAATTTAATTCTAGATTTGGCAGGCTTGTTCACAGTGCTACTCCTTCATTGATAGGTTAATGATTGTGAGGAAGCAGTTCATGGAACAAGCTGAACAAATTTAAACATTGAAACATTGAACACTTACTGAGAATAAAAGATATTATAACAAATCAGAATAAAGCTTTGGCCACAGGGGCATAGCTGACCTTGGCAGTCCTGACTTGGTCAAACAGGAAAGAGACAGACTCAGGAAATGCCTCAGACCTTCGGAAGTAATATCATAAAATTGTGAGTGCTTAATTTTAACATTGGTGGAGCGGTCACTGCCTGAATTTGTCACTTATGCAGGGTGCCCACATTATAGGAAACAATAATGAATATATTAATACAATTGACCTTTGCTTTACAGATGACCCCTTTGCCATTGACCTTAACTCTGATTGGAGCCCACCTACAGAAGAATGGGGCAACTGGACAGGGGAGGAAACTTTAACAACCCAGGAACTAGGAAAAGAGAAACTAAAGGTAATAATGAGAAAAGGACTAACAAATCATCGCTCCAGTGAAATCATTTAGAACTCCATAATGTCCTAAAATTGAATTTATAAAGTACCCTATTTGTGTTCCAACTGTCTATTAATGCTGCAAGACGGTTGTGAATACTGCACATAAAGCAGTGAACAGCATGTGTTTGAGGTATGCACAGAAAAATACAAATTGCTGTTTCAAAAATATTTCACTTGTGTCATTTCCTATAAGCATTGTGAATAAGTTTATTTTTAAAACCAAATTTAATATTGGCTGTTGTGAAGCTGTGGTTTTGAAATGTGCAGTGAAGACATCAGTACAGAACTCCAATAGCTCTCCAAAACCAACCAGATATCTCTGAAGTATCATCACTGTTGAAATATTGTGGAATATGGCAGCAATTTATGCACAGCAAGATTCCAAAAACACCAGCAAGATGAATGACAAGGCAATGTGAGTTGAACATTACGTTGCAAAGATGGGTAGGTTGGGTGAAATGTTAAATGTCAAAAATCTCAAAACCAACTGAGGCAGGTTGGCTAATTAAATATTCTAACGAAGCTGAAAATCTTTGATTTAAATGGGCTTGGAAGTTCAGTTTTGTCTGCCAGAAATCCTTGGGCCTCTGGGAAACGCATCACCTAAAGGAAGGCAAGGATAAGTATGGAGAGAAATGAAGTGCTTGCCTCTGGCCCCCAAGCTGCAACTTGCACTGTCAGACCTGTGCGACACTCCTGTCTCCTGATTTCGGGTCATAATACCAACCCGCCACCAGTAACCATCCCCCCCACCCCATCCCACAGCACTCACGTTAGCAAGTGACTTAATTGCACTTTTGACCTGTTCCAGAGTATCCCTGGTATGACTGGATACCAAGTCTATAAATTAAATCAAAACTATGGATTGAAGACTTCAGAACACCTGAGAAGCCTAGACTTCCAGTTTTTCCATCTCCAACCATGCAGCCCACTCAGAATACAGCCCTCCATATTTTTTTAACTGTGGGTTAAGGCATAGACTTTGGCCAGGACAAAGCCAGACAGCCTTTACTCTCATCCAAAATATTGCCATGGTGTCTTTTGCACCTACCTGGAAGTGCAGACAGGGCCATGTTTTAACATTTTGTCTGAAAGGTGGCACCTCTAGCAGTGCAATTCTCCCTCAGTGCTGTGCTGAAATGCCAGCCTAGTTCCTGTCACTTCACCTTTTAAAATGAAACAAGGATCCAAACACTGTACTGTGTGATTCTGAGAGTGTGGACTTTTCTTCCTGAGATATGTAGCTTGAGTTGTGAAATTCACTAACTTGCCAGACCTGACACCACTGAAAGTGCCTTGCCTGGTGGAAATTTCACAAAGCAGGAGGAGAGATGGAATAGATGTGGGATGGAGTCAGGTTCGCTACCCCCAGGTACTAAAGGAGGCAGTTTAAAATGTCTGCCTTGGTTCTCTGCAGCTTTGACTGAGTTGATTTTGTAAACATCATACTCTCTAGTCCTCGCCCCTTTTTGTACAGTCCTCATGCATTCCTCCTTTCCATACATGCCAGTTCATCCCAACCAAGCCACTTACCCACCCTCATGTCCCTTGTACCCCTGTCAATATACTGCCATCTTGTGACCCCCTAACCATCACCATGGCCTCTTCAAGTCCTCTGGCAACTTCGAGTCAACTTATTCCAACTCACATGTTCAAGGCTCCTTTGCCGTCATGTCCTCCACACCAATTTACTCAGGACCCACCATAGATTTAAATCAAGAGCCGGGCTGAGGTGAAATAAAATAAAATCCTAAGTACTTGTTATAGAGTTTACTGTATACAAGAAACTCCCACTCATGAGTAGCACGATGGCACAGTGGTTAGCTCAGCTGCCTCTGAATGCCAGAGACCCAGGTTTACTTCCATCCATGGGCAACTGTCCTTGTGGAGTTTGTACACTCTCCTCGTAACTGCTTGAGTTTCTGCCAGGTGCTCCAGTTTCCTCCCACAGGCAATGCTAAATTGCCCCATAGTGTCTGGAGATGTGCAGGTTGGTTGGGTTAACCATGATTAATGTAGGGTTACAGGGGTAGGATGGGGTTGCTAGTGGAATATTCTTCAAAGGGTCAGTTGGCTGAATGGCCTCTATCTGCACTGTAGGGATTCTGTAAAAAGCTGCTTAATACATCTAAATCCTCTCAAGTACATCCCTTATAAAAATAAATATTTGTATTCATAGCCTCAAATCAGTTTATAGCCTCTTGGAGCTATCAACCAAACTAAGAACTTCCAAGACCCACTGTTTTGTGGAAAGCAACCAAGCATTTTTAATACAATGATGATAGCATTTAGGGGTATGTCAATAGTCGGCTGTTAAAATTGTACAGAGCTGTCAGTTTTTTTTTAACCAAGGGCTAGTTATTTCAATATCTTGCGAGCTTGACCGTTCTACAAATCCTATCTACCTTTCAAGAGCATTTAATGCCACACTAAATATTCGTGAGACTTGCACTGCAGAATTAGGCCCTTCATGCAAAATTGGAGTCTGGTTAAACTAAACACTGATTACAAATGGCTAAGCTGAGTTCAGGATTCAGACATTTGCAATCATGTCCTGTTCTAATTCCCTCTTCCTACAACGGCGAACATTGGATCTGCCAAAAGTCAGAGATCGTGGATCTGGATCCCACTTGCCATGTTTAAAACTCCCCAGAGTGTCCATAATTCACTGACGATCCAGTTTCATTATATCTAATGCAGGTCAGAGAGCAGTGATTTAAAAAGGAAATTCTGCAACTCATTGCATTGCCATTTTGTTTATTATCTAGGTGTCCGATGGGGAGGAAGAAAAATCTCTGGTTAACCCTGCTGGCATTGGGAAGTCAAAACGAAAGAAGAAAAAGAAGAAGGGCAAGCAAACAGAGGATTCTGTTGGAAGTGAAGAGGTAAATATAGTTCATAAAACCCTAAAAGAATAATAGCTTTAAATTGATCAACCTTCAAATAAGTCAGAAATGAAACAGTATTTTGAGAATTTGAGAAACATATTGTTCTGTATTATGTTAATTACAAAGAATGGCATTTATTTAGCATATTTAACAGAGCAAATTTTTTCAAGGCACCATGAAAGGGAGGAGGAGGAGCATGCACTGGAGTGGAGTTTTTTATCTGTTTTAACACTTCTGGACAAACTTTCAACAAACTCAGTTAAGGGAAAGTGCTGACCGGTGTTGTAATTTTCCTCCTTTTAATCTGAGTCAGTATCTTCTGTTTGGCAGTGGGGAACTAATAGAATGATTTGCAAAACCAACTATATAAATAACTTCTTTTGCAATCATGTTAAGATCCTTTAAATGTGGTACTGTGTTACGTAGGTTAAGTTATAAGAATAAACAACATAGCTGTTAGCTTTCAAATGGCTCAAGACTGCTGGAATCTTAATGTAGTCTGTAGTGGCTAAACTTTAAAGATATATTTACCAGTAAAACGTTATTGCAAGCAAATAATACATCTAAATACTTATAAGTAAAAGAGCTGCTCCAATCCAAGGTGGCCGCTAGCACAGTCTATCAAATATTTATATCATGCATTAAAACCCATTTCTTGGGTCATCGGATTTGTTGTATCCCTCTTATGATGTGCTGTCTCTTTGGCTCAAACTGGCTTAAAGCATTCCTAGATGTGGTACTAGTTTGTGGTCTCAGTCTACCACATGACCTACCAGCTGCTGTATAATGCTCCAGTATTTCAAATCATATCTAGATTTTCTAGCATGGAAAAAGTTCATGCATTCTTTATGTCAACCACATTTACTAACAGTGTTAACATAAGGTCATAAATGTACAATAGTCACCAGCAGACCAAAATAAATAATTTAAGAGAAATGCCTTTAAAGTGAAAATTCAGAGAATTGTTTGATCCAAGATAACCTTTCTTACATCAAGAGCTGGCTTTACTTGCTCCGGTGTTTTTCAGGCCTACAACGGCCTACTCTCAAATGGGGATTTTTCCCCTATCATTTTCCAGACCATCACTGAAGTAGTTAAATATTCCTCAAGGTTGGCTCGGCTTTGCAGAATGCATGGAAGACCCAAACTGGTACCGTGTTGTCAGTCCCACAATAAAATCTGAACATCTAGATTTCTTCCTGGATCCTTTGATAGTGGCAGATGGAGTTTAATTTAGATAAATGTGAGGTGCTGCATTTTGGAAAGGCAAGTCAGGGCAGGACTTAGACACTTAACGGTAAGGTCCTGGGGCGTGTTGCTGAACAGAGAGACCTTGGAGCGCAGGCTCACAGTCCCTTGAAAGTAAAGTCCCAGATAGATAGGATAGTGAAGAAGGTATTTGGTATGCTTGCCATTATTGGTCAGTGCATTGAGTATAGGAGTTGGGAGGACTTGTTGAGGCTAAACAGGACATTAGTTAGGCCACTTTTGAAATACTGCGTTCAATTCTGATTTCCCTGCTATAGGAAAGATGTTGTGAAACTTGAAAGGGTTCAGAAAAGATTTACAAGGATGTTGCCAGGGTTGGAGGGTTTGAGCTGTAGAGAGAGGCTGAATAGGTTGAGGCTATTTTCCCTGGAGTGTCAGAGGCTGAGGGGTGACCTTATGTAAGTTTATAAAATCATGAGGGGTATGGACAGGGTGAATAGCCAAAGTCTTTTCCCCAAGGTAGGAGAGTCCAAAACTAGAGAGCATAGGTTTAAGGTGAAAGGGGAAAGATTTAAAAGGGACCTAAGGGGCAACTTTTTCATGCAGAGGGTGGTGCATGTATGGAATGAGCTGCTGGAGGAAGTGGTGGAGGCAGGTACAATTACAACATTTAAAAGGCATGTGGTTGGATACGTGAATAAGAAGGGTTTAGAGAGATATAGGCCAATTGCTGGCAAATGGGATGAAATTAATTTAGGATATTTGGTCGGCATGGATGAGTTGGACCAAAGGGTCTGTTTCCATGCTATACAGCTCCAAGACTCTATATCAGTGGTGTTAACAGTTAAATACCAGTCTCAGCAGTTTCCTCAAAAGCCCTAGGTGTAAAGAATCACATGGCTCAAAAGATAATCATTTGGCCCATCATTTTCTGGTGGCCCTATGAAGGAGCTATCCAATTATTCCCAGGCCCCTGCTGTTTTCCCTACATCCCTGGAAAGCATTTCTTCCTCACATACATATCTGATTTTTTTTTTAAAGTTAGTACTGCCCTTGTGTTCACCACCTTTTAGGACAGTTTAACATAATTTGATGCATTAAAAAATCTCATTTCCCTGCTGATTCTCCATTTGATGAGCACGGTTATTAAAAACAGGAATAAAACATCATTATTATTTACACATTATTAGTGAGACTATTATCAAAAATATTTTTCAGAAATAGGTGAAAGAAAAATGCTAACAAAAGGAGTAGAAGTAATATTGGTTGCTTGTGGTAAAACTATTCATGATAATTTACTGTCTCTCTAATTTACACATGAACTAGTAAAATTAGACTTGTAATAGTAGCCTAAATGAGGAGTTCATTGAATTCTTTTGAGATAGTTTCTTAGAGTGGCATGTTCTGAATTCTTTTGAGATAGTTTCTTAGAGTGGCATGTTCTGGAACTGACCAAGAGCAGTTTATATTAGACTACTTTAATATGACAAGATTAATAAATGTCTTTGGAGTAGAGGCATCCCTAGGGGTAGCAATTACCATAAATATTGAGTCTAAGACTAGTATTTTAAACTTAAATAAGGATGATTATGTGGGCACGAAGGCTGAGTTAGCTGAAGTGAACTGTCATATTAGATTAGTCAGTAGATCAAGAGATGCAGTGTGAAACGTTTAAGGAACTAATTCAGAACAAGTATTTTCCTATTATTAAAAAAACTCTAAATGGAAGATCCACCATTTGTAGTTTACGAAAGAAGTTAGGGCAAGCATCAAACTTGAGGACAAAGCATATAACAAAGGTTAGTGGCAGATCAGATGAATACAAACAGTCAAAGAATGACTATAAGGTCAATCAGGAGGAAGAAATTATGAGTATAAGAGGAGCTAGCTCGAGACATTTAATGAGGATAGCAAGACCTTCTGTAGGTATTTAAAAAGGAAAGTGTAAATGACATGGTGCTTGGTGGATTGGCCATGCTAAATTGCCCTTCGTGTTCAGAGATGTGCAGGCAAGTGGGTTAGCCATGGGAAATGCAGGGTACAGGGATAGGGTAGAGGGATGGGTCTGGGTGAGATGCTGTTCAGAGGGTCAGTGAGGACCTGTTGGGCTGAATGGCCTGTTTCCACATGGTAGGAATTCTGTGATTCTATGACTGCTGACCCTCTCGAGAATGAGAATGGAGAGTTATTAATGGATAATAAGGAAATATTGGGTACATGAACAAGCCTATTGCTTTGCCTTCACTATAGACGAAAACTATAGAAAGGACACTTTCCAGGAATGGGTGTAAAACAGGAGGTGGAAGAAAGAGAGGAACTTAAGCACAATTACAATCACTAGGGAAGTGGTACTAAGCAAACTGATACTGACACCTTTAGATCCTGATAGATGTCACCCTATGATTTTAAAAGAGGTGACTGATGTAGTAGACTGATGTCAATTTTCCAAAATTCGATATTCAGGAATTATTTCAACTGACTAAAAATTAACAAATGTAACCCCTCCATTGAATAAGGGACAGCACCAGAAAACAGGAAACATTAGATCTGTTAACTTTGTGTCTGTTGTAAGGAAGGTATTGGGATCAATCATTAAGAATATTATTGTTGCACACTTAGAAAAACTCAAAGTAATCAGCAAAAGTCAACATGGTTTCATCAGAGGAACCATTTGACCAATTCATAAGAGTTCTTTGAAGAGGAGTTTGCACATTCTCCCCCTGTCTGCGTGGGTTTCCTCCAGGTACTCCGGTTTCCTCCCACAGTCCAAAGATGTGCAGGCTAGGTGGATTGTCTGTGCTAAATTGCCCATGGTGTTCAGGGGTGTGTAGATTAAGTGGGTGGGATGCTCCAAGGGTTGGTGTGGACTTGTTGGGCCGAAGGACCTGTTTCCACACTATAGGGATTCTATGATAAGTGATGTGTTGTTAATAAAGGGGAGACAGTAGACATACAGTACTTGGATTTCCAGAACCTGTAAGATGCCACAGCAAAGGTCATTGCAGAAACTAAAAGGTGCAGGGAGTATCATATTAGCAAGGATAGAAGTTTTACTGCCTAACAGAAAATAGAGTGGAGCCCCATGGGGATCTGTAATGGAGACTCTGCTTCTTACAGTTTGTATCAATTACTTAGATGAGGGGAGCAAATACATGTATCTAAATTCGCTAATAACACAAAGATAGGTAGGAAAGTATGTTGTGAAGAAAACGTAAGTAATTTGCAGATGGATACAGATAGATTAAGTGAGTGGCTGAAAATCTGACAGGAAAATATGTGTTTGTTCATTTCAGTAGGAAGAATGTGAATAGCAGAGTGTCACTGAGAGAACAACTTCAGAAATTCAATGTGCTGAGGAATTTGCTGTTCTGGTACAAGTCACAAAAAATTAGTATGTAGATACAGCGGTTAATCAACAAGGCAAATGGGATGCTATCCTTTATTATAAGGATTTTATGTTTTAATTATACAGGATATTGGTAAAACCATATCTCAAATATTGTGCAGTTTTGTCCTCCTTATTTAAAGATGATGTAGGTGCCTTGGAGGCAGTTCAGTTGAGTTTTACTATATTGATGCCTGGAATAAGTGAGTTATTATATGGGGAAAGGTTGGACAGGTTGGGCTATTTGCACTGGAGTGTAGAAGAGTGAGGGGTGAACCGATTGATGCGCATGTGATCCTAAATAGTTTTGACAAGATGGAACTGGAAAGAAGATTTGCTGTTCACTGTTTTAAAGTTAGGAGTTGACCTATTAGGACTGAGATGATTTTTTTTTTCTCTCTCTCTCTGAGGGTTTTGAGACTTTGGACCTCTCTGCCTCAGAAGGTGGTGGAAGAAGGTTCGTGAATGTTTTTCAGGCAGAGATGGATAGATTCTTTTTAGGCAAGGGAATGAAAAGTATTTGGAGGAGGGAGGGTTGTAGATGGTAAAATGGATTTTGAAACATGAATAGATAAGGCACAATCTTGTTGAACAGCGGAGCATGCCCTGGTGCTGCTCCTAATTCCTGTGTTTGATTAAATGTTTTAATGCATGATTGAAAAGCATTAGAGTGTCTGTAGTTTTGACAAGTGTTATCTTCAATGGATAACATAAGAAAATATAAAAAAACAACGAAAATGATGTTGACTTTTTAATTCTAGGTAACATTGGAAAAACCCAGCACTAAATCACAAACTGAACTTGGAAAAATCCATCCAATTATTACTAACTCTTCTGAAGTCCATTTTATTTTAACGGGTTCAGAACTAAACAAGGTATGGTAAACTTTTATGATTGGCAATCTTTCACATCATGGCCGAAGAACCTAAAAATAAATCCACCCTGACTGTTCTAGTGTAATTTGCTGTTTGTCGGCAGAGCTTTCAAAATCTGTTAAAGACACTGCCTTTCGTTTGTTGTTCTGCCTGATTGATATCCAGTATTGGATGAGAAGAAACCACCTTTACTAAGATATTGGAAAGTCTGAAGCTGCTGTTAAACTCTCCACTACAAACGACCTTCCTTAGTCACCTATTCTATCCCTGTCCCTAGTCATTGTCTAAAAGATGAATCAAATTGCGAGCAATTCTGATGTCCTCTAGGGCTAGATGGCAGCATAGTGGTAACGTCACTGGTCTAGTCCAGCAACCTGGTTAATATTTTGAGAATGTTGGTTCAAGTACCACCATGGCAGCAGGTGAAATTTAAATTCATTTCATAAAAAAGTCTAGATTCTAAAGCTACGTTTAGTAATAGTAGTCAAGAAATAATCATCAATTGTTGTAAAAGCCCATTTAGTTCACGATGCCCTTTAGGGAAGGAAATCTGACATCCTTAGCTAGCCTGCTCTACATGTGACTCTTTACTTGTCTAAAATGGCTTAGGAAGCCACTCAGTTCAAGGGTAAAATTTGATCTTCAGTGGTCTAGCCAGTGATTCCCAAATCCTCTGAAAAAGTAAAGAAAAAGAAGTTGACCCTGAGTTGAGCTTCCAACCCCATATTTTCTTTGTTACTATTTCCATCCTGCCTCAGTTCATCAGGTCTTATGACCAGCCTTTTAATCTTCCACTTTCCATGCACTTCAATTCATCCAAAACGCTTCTGCCCGTAGTCTAACTCTCACCAAGTTGCACTCAATCATTAGCTTAGTATTTGCTGAGCTGCATTGGCTTCTAGTCCCACAAGTCCATCAATATAAAAAAATCATTCTTCTGTTCAAATCTCACAATTGACTTGCCTCTCCCTAACTCTGCTTCTTGCAACCTTATAATACATCATACCGTGCCCCTCTGAACAAAGATCTGTCTCCTCTACAATTCTCTGCTCTCTTGCAATACAGTTTTCACCACCTCAACTTTGGCAGGGTTGCTTTAGCTGTTTAGGTCCTAATTTCTGGCATTTCTTCCCTAATCCTTTCCATTTCAGGTACTCATTGAAGCATGCCTGTTTGAACAAGCATTTGACTAACTGTCTTAATATATGCTTTTATGTGACATTTTGCTGGATAACTGCACAAGTTGTTGATGGAGAATGTATCATGTTGTTTTCTTTTTACATGGAAGCTCAAAGATGATTCTGAAAAGAAGATTCTGAAGGATGAGGATCCAAAGGGAACGGTAACAGAAAGACCGGAAATTGGAATAGAACAGTGTTTAACAGAGATTGCTTTTTCTGATCCGTGGAATACAGGGGGCAGTACACCATCCAGTAAAAGTAAGCTGTGTCAACAGCCTTTCTTATAGGATCTCTTTGAAATTTACAAGGTTCTGAAAGGGCTTGACAGCATAGATACTGAGAGATTATTTCTGCTGGCTCAGGAATCTAGTACACATTGGATACAGTCTCAAGATAAGGGATTAATCATTTAGGATTGAAATGAGAAATTTCTTGCCTCAAAGAGTTTGGTAAAAGTGCTCCATTCTTTTGCAGCAGTGCCACACATTGGTATCACATCAGCCAGTGCCACTGCCTTTATACAATGTGTATTCAATGTACTTTCACAGGGAATAAGTCCGATGTTGCTCACTATGTCAATGCCACTTATATGCAGGAGAATTTAGTTATAAGGAGGAAGAAAGAGAAAAAAAATGTCAGAGTGGAAATCACCTGGGAAGATCACTTGAATCTGTTGGAGACCGTAATAAAGCGATATTGACAGAGATCTAGAGCAGGCCATCTGCTGATAGTGCTGAATTTTCCCGTTTTGAGTAAAAGTGTTCTTATTGAGTGAGGTTCATAATGCCCTGTTAGCTATGGCTCACAGAGAATTTTCTCACATAATAGTCCACAATTCACTCCATTAATTATATATTTGAGCTGTATGGCACACAGCACCTGGAATCATGTGACAGAGAAGTTGTGACTTGATTGAAACACACAAGACCCTGAGGGGTCTTGACAGGGTGGATGTGCAAAGGATGTTTCCTGTTATGGGAGAATTAGACCTAGGGCTCACTGTTTAAAAATCAGGATCACTCATTTAAAATGGAGATTATGCATCTTTTTTCCCTGCTATGAAGATCATGAGTCTTTGGAACTCTTACACTGAAAAGGTGATGGAAGCAGAGTCCTTGAATATTTTTAAGGCAAATGTAGATAGACTTTTGTTGAGCAAGGCAGTATAAGGTTACCCGTGATAAATGGGAATGTGGATTTGATGTTACAATCTAATCAATGGTGCTCTTACTAAATGGCAGAGCAGGCCCAAGGGGCTGAATGGCCTACTCCTGCTCCTTGTTCTTATGTTACAGAGAGCACATAGGTGGCATGGGTGACACTTAGTAAATAAACATGTAAATAATCTTGCAGTTTTGTAAATACATGTTTGCTTGCACTCCTAAAAATTGACTGCACTGTTGCTGTCAGATATGGTGAATTCATACCCAAGAGAGAGATGAACAACTCTTCAGACGTCGTAAGGATTAAAGAAATTGTAATGGCCCTGCATTGCTCATCTGTCACAAGCTACTAACTCTTTGACTGTAGAGAGTTTAGATGTTGCACTTTAATGATTACAGCATTAAGATATTAACACAATATTCAGGGATTGTGCTAGAGCTCTGTCTGCACACAACCTTGTGAGTTCCACAAGCATCTCTGAGGGAATGGTTCATTCTTTGTCACCTTTTCAAGGGAACGCATTATCATACAGGGCTGGTTGATATGCAGTCATTAATTCACATGTCAAGTACCCCTCTTTGAGTATTGGCATCGTGAGAAAAGTGGCCTCATGCATGTTCATTGCTTCTAATGATGACAAGCTTTTTGTGCTAAACAGCACAGCATGTAATATGAGCCTTGTATCTCTAGCTGAGGTGCTCAAAAGCAAGGTAATGCAATGCTGGAATGCTATTAGCATCCGGGAAGACTCAGCGCGATTGAGTGCTAAGGGAGCAAGCAAACAGGCTGGAGATGAGTACGTGAGCTGGGTGTATGTCCTTGAATATGTCATGTTCTTGATGCACCATTACAATGATAGTTGCCCGTGCAGCCTGACGTACAGAAGCATTCTGTAAGTGGACTGGAGATGTAGCATAATGGTTCTTAGAAGGTGGCAATTTTTAATGTCATTGTTCATGGACAAGGGACGCTTGTAGCTGATGCTTATGGAGTATGCTCTGAAGCCCAGTCTGACAGAGGTTGTTTGAAGTTATTGGTGAGCTGAATCCACAAAGTGCTCACTCAAGTTTCCATGTCAAGTTTTCTTGATACCTAACTTGTTTGGTAAAATAGGATACTGGATATTGATGAAGCACACTTGTCTGTTAAAAGGCTTTTGGCATGCTGCTACCTATTGAGAAACCCAACGTGTTGCCAGTCAAAAGCATGAAAGGAGGAGCATGATGCTCCTGGCTTTAAAATTGGCCTGTCTAGAGTTTGCATCCAATTCTGCCACAAATCCTGTCATAACTCACGTCACTCAGACACTATATGATTTTGTCCAGGGTGACGCAGGTTCTGGAATATGTTATTAATAAAGAAAAATGCCTAAAATGCATTTAAGGATAATTTGAATAGTCCATTTATTGTTCTAAATTGGTTGGCATGCATCCTAAATGCTGACAGAGTAGCCTGATACAACAGGGCTGACAGTGCACATCCAGCTGATTTTCACCATACCTATCCTGTCATTTTAGATGCTCTGGGAGCTGTTTCATGACAGTAAAACAGACATAACACTGTTGAACTTCCAGGTTCGTAAACAAGATTTTTGTTCCTTCCTGGGAACTGGTCAGACAGGGGCTGACAGCAAACCCTCAGGGTCCCTACAGTGTAAGATTATCAAAAAGAAACCAGTGTCTGTGTACTTTCTTTCCCAGATACAGTTAAAGCAACATGCACTTGAAGCAAGAAACCAGAAAATCGACAGAAATTGATCTTTGGATTACATCTGATTAATTGGGAGAAACTGCCAGTTTATATTGATTCTGTTGCCACAGACAGTTTGTCCAAAATGTTAACTATTTCTGATTCTGGCAGCAGCCTTCAGGCAGGTCTTGGTGAGAATGGGTGAGGGTGACTGCTGTAAAGTTCTATTAATGATGTAAGTTTTTTCTTTACATCACGGCTCATTGGGCTTTCACGTCCCAAGGGTGCTTTTAAACTGTCCTTTTAAACTGTCCTTGAACTAAATGACTTGAAATCAGACTGATATTAATAGATTAAATTCTTGCTTGCTTCAAAATGATTTGATAATTTTGCTATACGATCTGGTTCAAGGAAAGGCAAGTTTAAATGGTAGAGAATCAAATTCATTTTCTCAGGTCAGCCATGATGCAAATTAGATTATTACAATTTTTAATTCAAAAACAGCACACTGAACAACGTGTGTCTATCTAACTTGTAAGAACCAGAATAACAATTAATAATGTTATTACTACCATTTAATTAGCTTATAGTTTATCACATAATGATATTGTGATATTTTTCAGGTATTCTGGAAGCTTCATTTGCTAACTCACAACCTCCCTTACTTAGAGATAGTAGGAACTGCAGATGCTGGAGAATCTGAGATAACAAGGTGTAGAGCTGGATGAACACAGCAGGCCAAGCAGCATCAGAGGAGCAGGAAGGCTGATGTTTCAGGCCTAGACCCTTCTTCAGAAAAACATGTTTTCTGAAGAAGGATCTAGGCCCGAAACGTCAGCCTTCCTGCTCTTCTGATGCTGCTTCGCCTGCTGTGATCATCCAGCTCTACATCTTGTTATCTCCCTTACTTAGACAATGTTACCCAAACAATAAAATAGGCAGTGGAAAGAGCTGACGATTTTGAGAAGGTGGGGTTTGAGTAAGATCTGGAACTGGAGCTTGAAGAGGATCAAATTTAAAAGCTGAAGTTAAAATTCAGAGAAGAAAGATTCACATCCAGATCAACAATGCAATAAGAGAAGTTGGGGTCCTGGGGCTCAGGAAAGTTTTAAGATCAGAAACTGTAGACCAGAAATTAACAATGAACCAAAGGGCCTCTTTATATGTTGTAAAATGCTATGACTCTACGTAGAAGAGACAAATAAAACTGACTAAATTATGATAATGACACTTATCGACAAGGGGCAACAATGGAGATATAGACACCGATTTCCAACGATCAGAACAGCTCACAGAATTGTTACTTCATGGATTACAATGCATGCTTACAAATGACCACACGAGCTAATCTAGCTAATACTGGTGATGGTGAAAATAAATATGTCCTCTTTAGCTCTAACTGAATCCTTTATCCCGTAATTTTTTCCACCATCAATTTTAAAATTTTCAATTATATTTGTGATAGGCGTGGTACAGTTTTAACAATTGAGAAGGAAGCATGTATTGGATAATCAAACTAATGACAATATGTGCTTCTAAACAACTTCAATGCAGTAAAACATTCTTAGCCACTTCTTCGCAACATTGATAAACAAAATTATAAATTGAGCCACGAGGAGGTATTGGGGAAAACATGTAGGACCAGATTTTTACTGAGTCAGTTTGACTTGGGAGTCCTTTAAAAATGGCAGCGATTCCAAGATTACTAACCTTTGTCCTGGCCTTTCTAATTTTTTGACAAGTTTTTCAAATGCATGGACTTAGGTAAGCCCTCACCCTGCACTCCCAATTTGGGCGGCCATTATGGAAATAAACATGCACTACTTCTCTCCAATTTTAAAAGCTCTGGTTCAGCTCTTTAAAGGGTCATGATTCATGGCCCCTCAGAGGTGTCTTGAACCACAGTCAAAATATTCTTTAGAAGGGCAAGTTCAAAAGGTGCTCCACATGTTCCACTGCCAAGGTATGGCCTCCCAAACACCCCCAGGACCTGGTATGCTTCTCTTTCTATTCCCCATATCCGCTCATGTTCCCCAGGCCACACTATGGGACATCCATGCCCATTAACCCACTGTATAATTTCCCTAACAATGAACACTAGTGATAGTTGGATGAATGCAAATTAAGCTTTTAAAAATGTGATCAATTCACAACTTTTCACTAGTTATTAGTTTAAAGAAAACTCCTCTCTATCACAAGGCATTAAAAGTGTCAATCATTCCGACTTTTTAAAGTTTCAAAATTGAAACCTCTCAAGGAATTTGAAATCACTTAATGTTCTGTAAACAATGAAATTGATAGAGATATGGCAGCCAGAACCGTTCATCAGTCTGGGGTGTAGCTGCTTCAACAATCTGATGTTGTCTGGGTTTTCAACCAAGAATGGATAATGAGGCTTAGCTGAG